CTCTGATTAAGAAAACACAACTTCTCTAATAAAAAACCCAAAATCCATGAATAAAATTAAAGGCCCCCTACAGCCCCTTGGCTCTGCTCGTGCCTCTCAGTCCTGTCCCCCCGCACAGCCTTGCTAATGCCCCTCACCCCCCACCCACAGCCCCTATTCCCTCAGCCCTGCTGGAGGGGGCCCTCAGCTGCCAGGGCTACGGACCTGGGTCCACAGCTCGCTGCCCCTGCTCCCTCATGCGGGCTCAGGCAAGGCAGCTCCCCGCCACCATGCGCACTCCCAAGGGGCAGGGAGCACCCACATCCCCCAAGTCTGTACGCAGGGCAGATGCAGGTTGCGGGCTCAGGCTCCCACCCTGCTTCTCTCCCCCAGGGCCTCCACAGCCCAGTAGGCATGACCCAGCATGACAAGGAGCAGCAGAGTCGTGCAGAGAAGCTGCTTGCTACTGTTCGCTCCACACTGCCCTGGCGATTTCGCCTCTTGCGCGAGGGTTGCAGTGAAGGCAGAGGTGCAGGGTTGCACCCCTCAAAGCAGTGGCACACACAGGGGGTGCGTCACCAGGGCAGTGGGGAGCTCACAGCAGCAAGAAGATCCCTGTGTGACCCTGCTGTTCCTTGCTGTGCCAGGTCATGCCTGCTGGGCTGTGGAGGCCCTGGGGGAGGGAAGCAGGGCGGGAGCCCGAGCCTGCAGCTTGTGCCTGCCCCATGCACAGATCTGAGGGGTGTGGGTGCCCTCTGCCCCCTGGAAGTGTGCGCAGCAGCTGGCCCCTGTCTCCCTGCCGGGGCCCTGCAGCTGCACATTGTGGCCCTGGGCCCCAAGCACTGCCCAGCTGGGCAGCAGCCCCAGGCCTGCCCAACTCCTTCCCTCAATCTCCGTCTCCTTCCCACTTACCTACTAGAGCTGCTCTGCAGGTTGCCTGGGGCCGTGTACATGTACATGCACGCAGCGCATCCTGTCTCACTGGCTTCCTCCTACTCCCTCCCAGCTCCCTGCAGGCTGAAACTCTGCCGCCGTGCTGGGAACTCATTGCAAAATCTGCGGGCTTCTCTGTTAAAATAAGAAATAAGCATTTGCCTTTGGTAAAAAGTAAAATTTATGATTTACTCCATTTTTCTGTGGGAATCAGAAAACCCGGCTCCCTGTTGATCACTTTTGCAGCTAAGAAGACTTCCATTTTCCCACCTCCCCACCCCTTGCATCCCCCTGCCTCCACTTGGGGCTGGAGCCCAGGGGAGTTAATGGCAGGAAGCTGCTCTCTGGCTCTGACCCTGACTCGCCTCTTTATCAAGGTTCTTCATACTGACTTTCTGTCCCTGAACTTTCTTCTTTTTCCCTGCCTGTCTCTCTGGCTCTTTTCCTTGCTCCATCTCTCCTCTAGCCCCCCAGCACAGCCCCGGCTTAACCCGCCTCCGCCCACACTTCAAGAAGAGCTGGGGCTGTGCCAGGTGGATGGCAGCACTGGAAGCAGATCAGCAGAGAAATTTGGGGTGGATGCAGCATCCTCCCAGCGATGCCAGCATCTACTCTGAGTCCAGCACCTGCCAAGAAGAGCCCTGCACATCCCAGGCTGCAGCCTGCCCCCACAGATCTGGGGGGCACATGCTCCCCCTCCCCCCGGTGCCCTCCTGGGATGCAAGCAGTAGCGGGAACTGCCTCCCCCCTCCCCATGAGCTATGGCTCCTTCTCTCCCCACTGCCCCGCCTGGGCTGCACCTGCCCCCTCCCTTACCATGGGAGGCGTTGATCTACCTTCTCCCCACCCCTTCCCTCCCCACGCTCCTTCCACCACACCGGACTTACCAGCTGGAGGCAGCTGTATCAGATATTGGTATCAGCCAATATGCCTCCTTAAATATCGGCTATCAGTATCTGCCCCAAAAATCTCTATTGGCGCACCCTTAACTATCTGGTAATCCAGTTCTTTAAACCAGTGTTAACAGGTCAATAGGGAGTCTCTTGTACTTGGTATCTTTTTGGATCAGTTCAGAAATGCTGTTAGTACTGCAGACCCAATGTGTTTTAATCAGGTAGAACTTTTATTGGCGTTTATAGATGCTTTGGATCATAGGAAAGTAAGGGTTTGAAGGGACCTCACAAGGTCATCTAGTCAAGTCCCCTGCTGTAGGCAAGATCATCCCCAACTAAATTATCCCAGCCAGGTGTTTGTCTAACTGCTCTTGACAATTTCCAGAGATTGAAATTCCACAACTTCTCTAGGTAATGTGTTTCAATGCTTGACCCCTTGCTCCTCCCTCATAGTCAGAAAGTTCCTCCTAACCTCTAACTTAAATTTCCTCTGCTGCAACTTGAGGCCATTGCTCCTTGTCCTGTCCCATATGTGAAAAAAACATCTCCATCCTCTCTATAATTCCTGAATGCCTTGTGCCTCCTGAGGCTGGGAGGACACAGCAACCACCCACAGGTGGTGGTGTTGGCAGCAGGGGCATGGCGGCTGTGAGTGGGGACTGCCCACAGGCAGCTGCGGTGATGTCGGCAGTGAGGGTAGGCCAAATGGGGACCACCCGCAGGTGGCCGCAGTGGTGTTGGCAGTGGGGGGGATGCCGAGCAGCAATCGGCAACCACGGGCAGATGCTTCTGACTGCACTGGCAGTGGGTGAGGGGGTGGCGAGCAGCAACCACCTGCTGCCAACGCCACTGGCACCTTTGATGGTGCTGTGACATGGTGAGTACAGGTCACCACTAAAATGACCTTGCCCAGCCCCAGCCATGGGTCCACAAGTCCTCAGTGGTGGAGCAGGCGGAAGAAGATGTTAGAATCTCAATGGCTATAAAGGCAGGTGTAGCCTGCAGCGGAATGAGATTCCCACTAGTCATCTTGGTCTCCCTGCCATTAGATCAAGGTCCCCTTCTGTCAAGAGCCATATGAAGCTGATGTGCAGCAGCTTTTCCAAGATGAAAGTCACGCACAGATGTCTTCCATGAAAACAGCTTTTTCAGCACATTCCTCAAGCACTTTGGCGACTAGCTAATGGCAACAGGAGCAGGGTTGTGAGGTCTGAAAGCTTCTAGCCATGAACTGGCACGGAGGCAGAAGTTACAAGAAGGTTGTCTAGCACTTGGATGAGACAGGAGCATGAATGCCATGTAGCCCCAGAGGCTGGGGGGGGCACAGTGAGCTACCGCAGGCGACGACGGCACTGTCGGTGATGGGAGCGTGGCAGCAGCGAGCTCCTGCAGGCAGCTACAATGGTGTGATGGGGGTGGCAAATGGCAACCAGCGGTCGGCAACCACCTGCAGATGCCGCTGGCGGTGTCGGTGGCGAGGGGGGGTGGCAAACGGCAACTGTCCACAGGTGCCACTGGCAACATCAGCAGCACTTTTTGTAGGGGCTGCACCGCCAATGTCAGGGGGTGCACGTGCACCCGCGTGCATCCTCTGTGCATTGCCAGTGGACAGGAGTGTGATTCAGCAGCTGTAACTGCGACTAAGTAGCCTTCCTCAGGACCTGCTTTGCTCTCCTGCACATGGGGAGGGGGCTTGAAAAGGTGCCCTAAACAGCCTGTCTAATACAGTATTCTGTATTTCTTTCTGACTGGATAATTGTGTCCAGTGGGATCATCTTTACTGCAGTCAAAATACTAACAATTTTTGGGATCTGGATCATAAGGACCCCCAAGGACGCACAAAAAAAGCAACATTGATGTCAAGTCATGGGAGACTATTGCCCAGGACTGCCATACATGGAAGAAAAATCTGCTGCAGTGATCTCAGTATTTTAAAACCTCATGACAACAACAGGAGATGGAAAAGCTGCAGCAGCAAAAACAGCATGTCGCAGACCAAGCCAAGAATCCAGCACCCAAACTCCCTGTGGAAGCACATGCCCAAGCTGCAGTAGAGTCCATCAGTCCCGGGTAGGGTTCATCAGCCATCTTCAGACATACAGATAAGACAGTCATGGAAAACAATCCTCTTCGACTGCAAGGGATTGATGAAGACTCTTCCCATTCGCCCCTTGCCCACAATAGTCCAGGAAATAGGAGATAGGCATGTTTCATTGTGCACATGTGAATCTTTAATACTGCTTCTGGGAATCTTTTCCAACTTTTGCTCTGTCTCTATCAGTCTGATAGTTGGAATGTCTGGGTTCCTGTATCAGCAAGATCCTACCTGGGTAAAGTGTGTGTGACACTGCCTTGGAAAAAAGTGTATGGATACATTGGGATTGTATTGTGTGTGTTTTGTGTACAGAGGTGTGTTGAGGTGGAGTGCTTGCTTCTGCTTTTTCTTGTCATGAAAAACAAAAACTGAATTTCTAGTACAAGTTCTGCATGTGACTGGTATAATTGTGACTTCTCCCTTTCATTTACTTTGTAACTGTGCACTTGAAGATAGGATTTTAAATTGGATTGCTTAAAATCTGGAATTAATTTTGTTTACACCCATCTAACTCTTGTTAAATGCCTGACAAATACCCATTGAACATTTTTAATTTTATATAGTATTACTTTATAATCATTATCCCATCTCATCCCTAAAATTCTGGTCTGTAATAACAATAACATTCAGCTGAAGATCCAATTATTATTAAAGAGATTTTCAAAAAGCAGAAAAGGACAGACAGACCTGAGTCCCAAATCTGTATCTTAAGGTGAAAAGGGCAGAATCTTTTATGTGGGGAGGTGACCTTTCAGGCATTATTCACTTACTATAGTTTCCTATCAGTTTTATTAGTGGTATACATGAGAGCATTGCTTGAAGGTGGCCTGCAGAGAGAAAAGTCTGATAGGGATTTTAATGGGGAAGAAAAGCAAACTAATTCATATTTAGCAATGCCTCATTGGGGGAGGCGGGGAGAAGTGATACTTCTAGCTGCAATCTTGTAAACCAAAAAAACATGGTTTCTTTTCTTTTTTTGACTTGTCTTTTAATCAGTCTTACATTTTAGTGACCTTAAATTTTCTCTTCTTTCAATGACAAGGCAAAATTAGGCCCTGAGGGGAAAACAGATGGTGTAATAACCTAATTATCTTTCACATAGGGTTCGATGGCAGGCCCACAGGAGGGAAAATCTTCTGAAGCAAGGAAACATAAAGGCATCTCAAATGGAGCTGGAGCTTCTCAAGGTCAATGGGGGAGAGCATGGTAAGAATGTGTTTTCCCTAATTGTAGACAGGCTCAGAATGTGATATTTTCCTAATCTTACCCATGCAACACTCCTTACAAACACAATCACCATTGATTAAAAACTATTGGCCCTAAAAAAAATAAATAAATTGATCATACTTACCTACACTGTAGCAAAACACACTACATCTATACATATCGTTTACAATGGCAAAGAAGTGCTTTTCCTAGTATAATCACGGTGACATAAGTTTCTGCTGGTAAAGAATATAAAAAACACCACCATCCTAAACAGCATTATTATATTGTCAACCCTTTTCCTTTAAATCTGTCCAGAAAGCTTAATACAACAAATTTTTACTTGCAACAGCTCCCCTAAAAAGACACCTCCTCACAGGTCCAGTAATAATGGATCATTTCTTCAGTGACAGAAAAGTACAGTCATGCTACAAATCTGAAAAACTATTTTGGTACTAGCATAGAGAATAGTTTAGCAAGTCCTGGCTTACCAGAGCTTATGACCTACCACTGAGACTCCAAATATTAGCAAACTACCAAACTTGCAGTACTTTTTCTTTAGTTGGAAACTGAGGCATAGAGATGTTACCACAAACAGTGTGATGTTTTTAGAACTAAGAGCTAAACCTGGATCTGCCTTAATCATGAGACCAGGTTTTTTCACCATAAGTTTTGTGAGCATTTTACAGACTAGGCAACACCTACCCCTGACCTCTCTTCATTCACATTTAGACAATTATTTTTGTACAGCTTATCTTATCTAACATTTGTAATTATTTTACTACATGGAAATGGTCTTTTGTGAACTACATAATATAACAAATTCTCTAAAACTTAATTTCAAAGTGGGGCAAGACCCTTTGTTTCAGTGTAAGAATCCTTTAAGAACCTAACTGTATTAATTTGTTACAGGGAAGTCGACTGTTTTTCCTTGGCAGCAGTCATTATCCTGCTCTTGTTCGCACCACTCATAGTCTATTATTTTATAATGTCATGTGATCAGCATGATTGCTCCCTGACTGAGCCAGTCATTGATTTGTTTGGGGGAAATACCTACCTCTCTGACATCTGGGACAAGACTCCTTCACTGAGCTGGAAAGCTGCTACCATCTATATACTCTGGGTCACTTTCCAGGTACTTACTTGAGTTACTTTTTTACTTACAAAGTTACTTTTTTGGTAAGAAACTTTGAAATCTGAATTAATATAACAAAAGATACTTCATCTTGGTATGGAATGATTTTGTCATTTAGGCAAAGCATAGATGTTCAAGAAACCCAAGGTAAAATTGATTCAATCTTTTCAGTTTTTTCTAAACTACATAGATTGAACCAATAACAAACTGAACTGACAGTCAGTGTTTGGGTGGCCAAGACAGGCAGAAGCCTGCAGTGGCCAGACCAGGAGCCAGGGGACACACGCATGCACCACCCCTTATGGCGAGGCTGCCTAAGGCTGCTGAACTCAGCTCAGCAGCAGCACAGGCCTGATTTGGCAGCCAGGGTCTACTCTATATTTACCGGAAAACTTTACCATTTCAAGCAATATCCATGCTTTTGCCATTTCTGAATATCCGTGTTCTCAAAACTGGGAATTTTTCCAAGTTAAAAGCAAAAAAACCCACCCCACATATGTATCTATAGTGATTATGTTTGTCCTACAACTTATTTATTGTTTTAAATTCTTCATATTACAGGTGATTTTATATACCCTGATACCTGATTTCTGCCATAAGTTTCTGCCTGGATATGTAGGAGGAATACAAGAAGGTGCTGTAACTCCTGCTGGTAAGCTTTCCTTCAATATACCATAAATTGCACATTCCATTTTATAAAGCACAGACAACAGAACAGGTAGCGACTTCAAGAGCTCACCTTGTCCCACCCCCATATGCTTTCTGCAGTACAGCAATATTTCCAGTCATTGTCCATTTTGTATCTGAGCTTTTTCCACATTAAATTCCATTGTATTTATTTCAGGCTACTTTAAATCGTAACTCTGTCTTCTAAAATATCTGCTGCGAAACCCATCCTAGTATCTTCCACAACTTTTTGTGTGCATTCAATTCATACCTCTCAGTTATTAATGAATATGTTAAATAGTGCTAGACAGACCCAGGACACACCCTCTCGGGGAAATCCAATGGATACCTCACCTTTGATACTGAGACATTAATGCCTATTTCTTGATCATGATGCTCTAACCAGTTATGAACCTAGTAGCGTCATATAGACTGTTTCCATATAAGAATACGTCACTTTAAAAAATCATATGCATATTAAAAATGGATGCAAGGGGGGAATGTTAGTGGAGAAAGTGCAGTATGATTGATACCTTAACTAAAAATGCAGCCAAAACCACCCTCTCTAGTTGCAAAGTTATTGACTCTCACCTGGACTATTCCACCAGCAGGAAAATTACTTTGCACCAGCAGATATATTGGGAGAGAACAGAATGGTGATCTCTAAGCCTTGCATTACTCATTGGTTACTCTAAGTGTTCAAGAGAATAGCTAAACACTCTCTCTCAAGTGAGACTAATTTGATCTTTCTACATTCAAGTTAATTTCCTGTTACTTCTTTTGCTTCATAATTAAGTTTGAAGGATTTCTCTTTACCTTAAGTTTACTAACTTTTAAAAATTGCTTTATTGTTGTTGTTTGGGGGGGTGGATAGAATAGGAAAATGAAAACAAAAGTCTAAGGAATAGTGTTGATGGTTTCACTAGAGTCTCTTTTCTACTTGAAGAGGAGAGGTTGCTGTGAGATTTGTATACTTAAGAAAAGACTCAGGGGACAATAGAAACACTTCATTCAGTTGAGGCTCCTGGATAAAACATCTGCGTCCAAACTAATAAAACATAATGTTAATCTTATATTTTTGCAAACAGTTGAAAAATTCAACTCTTCCTTTCTAGGTATAGTAAATAAATATGAAATCAATGGGCTTCAGGCTTGGATCATTACCCATGCTCTCTGGTTTGCAAATTCTTACTACTTCCACTGGTTCACACCTACAATCATTTTTGACAACTGGATTCCTCTCCTGTGGTGTGCAAACATACTGGGATATGTAGTTTCCACATTTGCGATGATTAAAGCCCACCTTTTCCCCACTAATGCTAAAGATTGGTATGTCTTTTTATATTGTAACTGTAGTAGTATTAGAAAATTTAACATATTAAAATTAATTTTGATAAAAGAATACCAGAATGCATTTGTTTAGTCTTTGTTTCTTTTAAATGCTCTGTCAAATCAAACTAACTAGGACTTCAAGTCAGGACTTGCATTTGCAGTGTGCCAACTGCATAATTTTATCTAATGATAGTTTTGTGTTATGCTTTGTTAGTACATGAGGTACTCTAGGTATTAGAAAATGAAGTAAAACTTATAGTCAGAAACTTGATTGAATAACTTTGCACAAAACTTAGCACCTTTCAACTCTCTAATTTTAGTAAATTCACTGGCAACTATTTTTACGACTATATGATGGGAATTGAATTCAACCCTCGCATAGGCAAGTGGTTTGACTTCAAGCTGTTCTTCAATGGCCGTCCCGGTATTGTAGCCTGGACCCTAATTAACCTCTCCTATGCTGCCAAGCAACAGGAACTATATGGCCAAGTGACCAACTCCATGATCCTTGTCAATGTCTTGCAGGTAAGCCTGGAGGAATAAAATGTGAATAAATTTGGAAACTTAAGTTTGTATTGAAAGATCTTGTTGGGGCATACACTGTAGCTTGTAGCTTCCCAAGTACAGACCTAAAGGAATAGAAGTGGCTGCTAGAAAAAGTTATCTAAATAAAGGATCTTATGATTCCATCTAAATAGTTCTTTGTAGCAGTTGGTAACATTTTCCAGCAGCAGGCCACAGAGATCTACCTTGGGCCCAAGGTGGGCTGTAGATTGCCAAGCCCTGCTTTATTGTGATTCTTGCATTATGTCTATAACCCAGTCTTACCATGCAAGGCAGAGGCATGCTTGAGCACATCCTGGATGTTTCTACATGTGCTCTTTACTGTGGAGCTGACCAGCTCCACAGTAAAATGGCACTGTCTACACATGCATCCCTATTAGGGCATAGTAAATTAATTAACTCCGCTTTAGGACAATACTGTCTGGGACAAGTACTGTCCTATGGCACAGTTATTTAGTGCACTGTAATGCATACGTAGACAGTGACCAGGACTGGATGGGGTACAAGAATGCTACAGTGCAGGGGCTGCCTGCTGGCTATCCTTGTGTCCAGCCAGCCCCTCCACAGCATGTTGAGCCAGGGTGGAGCAGCTCTGGGCTGGCAGGCTGACCCACTGGCCTCCCTGCCAGCCGGGGCTGCTCTGACCCGGCTCAATGTGCTGCAGTCCCAGGTGCAACAAACTCCAGTGTGAACTGCCAGAGTTTATTCAGGAAATTAATAGCATATGTAGATGCATTCCCTAACACTCAAATGCATTTTACTGTTCTGTGTGTATTGCTGAGGCAGAGCCCATTATCCTGTCCACTGCACCATCCTGGAAACAATGCAGTGTTTGTGAGATCGCTTATTGGCATGCTGCTTGTTGCATAGACATGTCCAAATGATTAATCATATTTTTAAAAACAATTCTCTGATTTTTTTTGTTTTTTATTCAGCATAAGTTTTTTAAATAAAATGCAATCATCTCAAGATTTCAAGGATTGCTTTTTTTGTAATAAAACTCATTTTTTTCAAATGGCTGATATTTTGGATTTAAAAAACTGAGTGCACAAACAAGGACTTTTTCAAAGATAAAGCAGTTAATTAAGATAAAATAAATTGACAGTAATTTTTTTTAAGATAAAGTAAATTGACAGCTTTTCCAGATATGTAGTACTTGAGGGAAGCTGAAGATCAGCATGCAGCTTTTGGGACAGAATATAAAAGGATAAAAACAGCATTTCAAGGGGTGCCTGTTCTCAGGACTGGAGTGAAAAGGAGAGGAGATGAAAAGAATGGATGCATGGAACTAACAGAAATAAGGCAAAAGGATGCGAAAGGAGGCAACAGGACTTCAATGTGAGGAAGCTGTTTCTGAATTCTTGCAGTCTAGGAAACTTGGGAAGGAAATGAAAGGCTATACATTCATCACCTCTGACAGTGGTGGTGTCAGTTATTGTGTGGTGATTTGGAGCAGAGGAAGAGCTTGGTCAGAAGAGTAATCTGCTAATTTAGGAAGAACAGTTGCACCTCATAAACTGTATATCAAACATCTAACTGTAACTGACAATGACAAGCAATTTCAAAAACTAAGTGTCTTGAAGTGCAGTTCTGCACCATGGTATGGCTGTTGCTAGATCCTGTTTCTAGTATGATTAAATAAACACAATGAGATACTGAAAGGTTGAATGCAGTTAAACAGAACTCCTAATGCTGTATGCCATTATTAATAATAATAAATAGATATTTTCAAAGCAGAGCTGTGATCTTTGTCTATCCAGAGTGTTTCAGATCCCAAAACAACAAATTGGGACATCTGCATTGATTGAAGGTATATTTTCCACTGTGTGTGTAATATAGTTTAATACAGTTATGTTATTTTTTGAAAATACTGCATTTGCAATTGTAGGAATGCAGGACAGTTATCAATCTCACAAAAGTTAAAATTGCTGGGATAGTTTTGTGAACTAACTAGTGATATGCTTTAATAGCAACAGAGCACTGTTCTAAGCAAAATACCCCTTATTTCCAGGGAATTTATGTGTTGGACTTCTTCTGGAATGAAGCCTGGTATTTGAAGACTATTGACATCTGCCATGATCATTTTGGATGGTACCTGGGTTGGGGAGACTGTGTCTGGCTGCCTTACCTCTATACTTTGCAGGTACAAATGTGATTTGCATTGCGAATAGCAGATTTCCTGGAAGCAGAACAAGTTACAGAGTTAAAAGTAAACTTGAAAATTCCAGAAATCTGTTCCCCAGCAGTATGACTTGCATTTTTTAAAATACTTCTAGAAAGTCTGAGTTAGAACCACTGCTGCAATCCGTAGTGCTCAATTCCTGAAGCCTTAACATCAGGAGAGATTAATAGCCATATGTCCTGCCCTGATCCAAAGTGCTGTGTCCTAGCACAGTTTGTCATGCTATTTTGTTCTAACCAGTGCCATAGGAACAGAGAAGAGCTGGCAGAAAGCTGCTTTAGCTTCCTATTCCATTCATACAAGCTGTTGCTTCAACTATCTGTTGCAGTCTCAGTAAGAGTAGAGAGTGGTTTTGTAGATGATTTTTGGCTTTATCTGCAGACATGGCAATACATTTACAATGTGGATCTGAGATCCTGCAAGTTCTTACTCTCACTGATCCTCTCCTGTCAGTTGGGTTCCCACTAGACCGAGAACCTTTTGGGCAGTAAGGATACCACCTATTTTTGGGGAAGCATTTCTCTACAATAATTCACTAACCTCCTTAATTCTTCTTCACTCCGCAGGGTTTATATCTAGTATACCACCCTATACAGCTGACAACAGCTAATGCAGTAGGAATCCTGCTGTTGGGCCTTGTTGGTTACTATATCTTTAGGATGACCAACCACCAGAAAGATCTCTTCCGTCGGACAGATGGCAACTGCAAAATCTGGGGTAAGAAACCGGAATACATTGAATGTTCATACACATCAGCGAATGGGAGCAAGTACTACAGTAAGCTGCTGACTTCAGGATTTTGGGGAGTGGCACGACATTTTAATTACACTGGTGACTTGATGGGCTCCCTAGCATACTGCCTGACATGTGGCTTTGAACACGTTCTGCCTTACTTCTACATAATTTACATTACCATTCTGCTGGTCCATCGCTGCATTAGGGATGAACACCGTTGTTCCAGCAAATATGGGAAGGACTGGAAGCGCTACACTGCTGCAGTGCCTTACCGGCTAATACCAGGAATATTTTAAGAAGAACACAGAATTCCACAGCTCAAAATGTCTCTTTGGGAATGGGAAAATATAAGATACAGGTTCTGCTTGATACCAGCAAAGACTACATTCCATAGAAAATTTGGGATGCTTTTTGGGGAGGAAATAAGTGTGGTTTGAACATTTATTTTTTCTCTAATAGAAGATGTTACCAGTAGCAATTTTGAGCACTGTATTGCATAAATGGTCTGATAGCTAATATTTCTTCTGTAAAGGTCTGACTTGTTACCTTTTTTCTCCAATAATTTGTAAATAAATATTGAGAGACCTTTCTTTTATAATTTTTCTAGCACTAGAAGAAGAGTTCTAAGTAGTATAGGAGTGAGGCTCCAGAATCTATTTCCAATATTCTCTTGCTTTTGCTACTCTTAATTACCTTTTTTTAGGATGGAACTTGATTATACTATTAAAGAAATCTATATAATGTGACAACAGGAGACTGGAGTCCGTGACCTTTGAGGCTACTTCCAGTCTTGAGTTCCATGTTGCTGTGGATCAGCAGTGCTCAGCCCGCTGCCTCCAGGCCAGATTCAGCCCCCACAGTCAAGTAGTTTGACCTGCCCGGCTCCCCATAGGTCCCTGGTGAGCCCTGCAGGCCATGGCCATGAGCGCTAGATCAAGCACACAAGGTCGACATAGGGTCCCAATCTGGGCATGATGGGACTGTGGATTGGCCCTGCACCACTCTTCTGGCCTACAGAGCCAAAAGGTTGAGTGCCACTGCTTTAGATGATGGCTCTTAGGGTAATACTGAGACAGATCTGTGACCCCCAGCTGGCTGCCTTAATCCTGCCCCACTCCAGTGTCTCACCTGCCATTCCTGATGTCAGGGTTATAGTATGTTGGGACACTTACCCCCATGAAGGCCTGGCGTGCTTCTACTGGGGCTACCTTTAGCTAGACCCTCTATCTCTCTCTGGGGCTCCAAACTTCCTGTACACAGCCCTTCTGTGGGGTGCCAACTGCTCCCGACTCTGGTTCTCAGGCACACTGGGCCTGACTCGTCATAATCCATGGCTCTGCAGATCCTGATTGCCTTAAAGGCAATTATCATGACCTCCAGCTGCCCCCATAGCCATGCTTGCAGATTTCACTCCGTCATTTGCCAGACCCTTGAGCCCTACATTGTTTTCAGCCCATGGGTCCCTGACCTGCACTGGGCTGTCTCTAGCCTACAATTACTCAGGCATGACTCATACAGCCTGTCAAGTCCCAGACTCACACAAAGCTCTATCTTGGCCTCAGCCCCTCTCCATCCCTCAGCTCTGGGGATCTCTGACCCATGCCCAGCTGTTGCCTTCAGCCTGTAGCTACTCAGCTTTGGCCCACAGAGCTTACTGCATCCTAGATCCAGGTAAGGCTGTATCTTGGCCTCAGCCTCTCTCTCTCTCTGCTTCTGTCCACTTTGATCCCTCACCCCCTATGGGGCTCTAACCTCAAGAGTGCCCCTCCTAGTCTCCATACCTCCCCAATAGCCACAACTCTGGTCCTCCATTCTCACTCCAGCTGAAGCCTGAGGTTTGTTTGTTCTACTTTAGGTTCTCCTCATTGGTATCTACAGGTCAAGGTTCCTTCCTCCACTTCTGTCTGTGGGCTGTCTCTGACCTAGGATTTGCCTCTGGCTGAGGTTTCTCCCCCATGCTGTCTACTCCCACCTAAGTTTCTAGGCACCAGGCCCACACACTCAGTTCCTTCCTGGGCTACACACAAGACATGGTGTAGCAGATTCCTGGGAACTCCCATCTGCAGGGCTCAGGGCCACACTGACTCCCTGGCTCTGCAAGCAGGCTTATATTGCCCCTGACTTCTCCTCTTCCCAGTCACCTGACCCTGCTTCCCTTCCAACAAGGCTCCGGGGCCACTGACTATGGTTTCCTACTCTGCAGCTGGTGTGCCCCTGCAGTTCTGCCTCATAGTACTAGATGCAAGGTCTACCAAGACACGCGCCACTTCAAGGCCCAACAACTTGATACTGAGGCAAAACAGTGGCAGCGGAGGGAGGAGAAGGAGACCAACCCAGGGCTGCAAATCCCACTCCTCCATGCAACAACATGCCCCCATTGCCAAAGAATATGTGTGTCCAGAATCAGACTCCTTAGTCACCTGAGGACCCATCAAGCCTGACGGACGTCATACTTGATTCCAAGGGACTGCTGCCGTCAGCTAAGTGCAAGGGTTTCCCATTATTCCCTTCACTGGCTTGATTGAGCAGTCTTTCCTGCAGCCTGCACTTTGTCCTCTCCTGCATCCATTATCCAGTCAACTCCCTCTTAGAAACAGGGGCTATCCCTGCCCACCCCTGCCAGTTACAAGATCCTCAATAGAAGTATTGGGCAAGATCCTCATTTGTTATACCAGAGGAAGAGCTAGACCAAACTGATCTAACTCCATTTGATGACACCAGTTGAGAACCTGACTTCCTTGGGATCATCCACTGACTTCTAGTTTGACTTAATCCTAAACTTTCTTTGCAGAGTAACTGAAGAGAAGCTTCGTTATAGGAAAACATTTTTTTTAGTGCAGATAGGGGACTTTGTACCTCTCTCACTTGTGTCCAAAGTGGTAACTACAAAGGTTAGGACAATAATAGAGGCTGAATCCTGGATGTCAAGATGGAAACAAAGTTTTATCTGATCTGACTTTTCTTTTTCCACCTCTTAATTGTTCAGATTAGCTCACTACCAAATATCTGGTCAGAGCTTTACAAAAAGCGTACAGTCCAAAATAACAATGCTAGATGAAGTGTAGAAGGATAAAGGTTATATATAAACAGATAATCAGAGCGATAAGCCCTTCCTGTTAATTACAAGCTTGACAGTTACATATTACATACAAATGCCCAATATTCTCCATTTAAATAAGCAATTAACTTGTACCATGAAATTTGGACTGGAAGACAAATGGGCCTTGTTCTGTTGTCAGACAAAAGAAAACAAAGACATGTATCTATATGCCTTTCTTACAGAGGCTTCTCATACTAACTCGAATATAATAGGTTCCATGTAACTATTAGTTATCTGCTTCAAGGTGAGAGACAGTATTATTGATCTTCCTGTTGACACTGTAGGGTTGGTGTTCATTCAGCTCTGCCATAGAGAGCTGACTAGCATGTAGTAGGATGCAGGCTTCTCCTGTTAGACATGCTGTAAGGTTTTTCTCCCCTTGCATTAACTGCTGTGCTGTACAGGGAAAGTGTTCAGTGGATTATGGACAAAAATGAAATGCAGAGAAAGATGATATAAGCATATAAGTAGGACTGCGGGGCAGTGCTCTGTGGGGCAGTGAAGGGTGTAATGTGAAGAGCTATGTAGCCATGACCCTGGAGACGCAAACAGAGAGACACAATCTTGAGTAAGTAGATTTGACAGCTGTAGATTTCTGCGAAATTGTTATAATATTTAGTAAAAAAAGAGAAAAATATGCTTTTGTTTGGCTGTTTCATTTTTGGTTGTTTTTTACTGTACCTCTAACAATGTTCTTCTGGAATTAAAAGTGCTTTTTAAGTCTACTAAAATCAACAAATTCAGGCTAAAAGCCATTATTGCCAAATATATACATATATATTGTCACAATTAGCCCCTTTGATTGGTAAAACTGCTTTGTATTAATATGAATAAGAAAAGTTCTTATTAATAGTTACATTCAGGCCTTATTTTAAGTGCACGTTTCATTACAGTAACATATATTGTAGATAAATGGATGGTATTAAGTCAATTGTATATATGCCTTGTTGCACTTGGCTTGCACTTGCATGATTCCACTTTTGAGTCCATGTAGTGTTGTATTACATTGATCTGAGAGTATTACCACGTGGGTAGGCACTGGCAACCAGGAGCTTTTCTCTATTTGAAGACTCCAAGCATTCTGGGCAAATTTGATGGATTGTGGAATACCACTTGGTGTCTAAAAGAATTATGGATACAACCACTGTACACGCATCCTACATGACTTAACTTATTCCTGTCTATTGTTACAACTGGAAGAGGGCTCTGCTTTTCATATAGTACAGAATATGATGAGGTTCTTGCCCATGTGTAGGGCTTCTCCAATATAGAAGGACAAATGATTAATTAAAGAGCATGTAGCAAGTGGCAGTTTCTAGGAACATTAATCTGTCTTGTCAACAGTTCCTCTATTTTAATCTAGAGGAAGAAACACTTGTGTAGAAAACATATTTTGGCTTCCACTGATAAAAGGAGGATTATCAGCAAAGTAAAGACCACACTTACATTGGGTTCTTAATTGTGCAGTGTTTTGGTACTTGCAAATGAAGTTAACCTTTAAAAAACACTGGTTTTGTATTTTAGTATTGTTCCTATTTTACTGAAGTTCGTTTTCTTAAAAAAATAAAAAATGACTGACTGGTCCTGTAGAGCTTGAAAACTGGTGCAACTGGACTGAAATATGGCAGTGGATGCTCAGGACTGTTACCTGAATTGTTTTCTTTATTTTCCTGCTAGGATTTTGATTTGCTTTTAGATTTCTTCTGCAGCCTTGGCTATTTTCTGCAGAAGAACTTTAAGCTTGCATTGTGTTTTCAAATGTGTACTAGCTCTGCCTCTTGTGTATAAATTCCTTCTGGCTTATTTTGTTTAATGTCACAATGATTTGACTGCATTCATGCACCACTCAAGCTTGAACATCAGCAATGAAAGCTTATTTTATTATATCCATTATTATACCAATCATGTGTCTTAATCTTGTGTCGCTTACTGTTTTGGGGGTGGAGGGAGGAGGGGGAAGTGGTGCATTCTTTGTTTTGGTATCTTGTATGTACCCATCATTGCCTTTTATATGGTTTAGTGATGTGCGTAACAATTCATTAAGAACTGAACTAAAAATGCCATCTTGATTCAAAGATGGGTTTTTGTTATAAGCATTGTGAATGTAATGTTGAAGCATGGTTGAGAACTCCAGAAAAAAACTTTCATTATAAGTAAGGGTGCACCAATAGAGATTTTGAGGGCTGATACTGATAGCTGATATTTAAGTAGGCATTTCGGCTGATACCAATCCGATTTCATAGGTT